GGGCCAGGCCGGGGGCAGGAGCCTGGAACGCCATCCGGTCTCCCTCGTGGGTGGCGGGGGCCCGAGGACTGGGGCTGCCTCCCAGGTGGGTTAGCAGCTGCACTGCTGCCCACAGCGCCCCCTGTCCCTGGAGTCAATAATTCTAAGGCAGGGCTGGAAAACATTTATTTTTATTTTTTATTTGACAGATAGAGTTAGACAATGAGAGAGAGAGACAAACAAAGGTCTTCCTTCCGTTGGTTCACCCCCTAAATGGCCGCTGTGGCCGGTGCTGAGCCGATCCGAAGCCAGGAGCCAGGTGCTTCTCCCTGGTCTCCCATGCGGGTGCAGGGTCCAAGCTCTTGGGCCACCCTCCACTGCCTGGAAACTTTTCTTTTCCCCCTAGGAAGAGCCATTTGGCTACTTCTGTAACATCACTCGCAGACCATGAAAGTTATCAACGTAAGGAAATCTGCCTGCCTTGTAGGTTTACCTGCCTGCGCTCGGCCTTGGCAGGGCCAGATGATTTCTGCAGGCTTCCCTGGGCCATGGCCGGCCGTTCCCCACACCGGTTCTGGTTGCTCCTCTTCCAGTCCGGCTCTCTGCTGTGTCCTGGGAAGGCAGTGGAGGATGGCCCAAGTGCTTGGGCCTGCACCCGCATGGGACACCAGGAGGAAGTACCTGGATCCTGGCTTCGGATCGGTGCAGAGCCAGCCGTAGCAGCCATTAGGGGAGTGAATCAACGGAAGGAAGACCTTTCTCTGTCTCTCTCTCACTGTCTAACGTCTAACTCTGCCTGGCAAAAAAAAAAAGAAAGCTGAGGGTGGGAGTCCCATAGGCGTAGCTGCCTTCCCTGTGTTATTTTGAGGGAGGAGATCTCAAGCTTTATCCAAGTGGCTGGGGCTGAGTGGTGGTCAGCCAGTGAGCCCTGTGAGCCAGGAAGGTCCAGGTGCTCCCGGCCCTGTGGACAGGCACCCTGGTGGGCTCGCAGGTGGAAGGTCCCTCAGCGGGGGTGTGGGGGGGTGCTGGTGTGGATCAGAGCCCCTAAGGGGGCGGGCTTTTGCCCAAAGAGGGCTGATTATATCACCCAACCTGGACACTTTTTAAAGATTTCTTTCTTTATTTGAAAGGCAGATTTAGAGAGCGGGAGAGACAGAGAGAACTTCCTATCGGCTGGTTCACTCCCCAGATAGGACCACATCAGCCGGGGCTGGGTCAGGCTGAAGCCAGGAGCCAGGAGCTTCATGTGGGTCTCCTGCATTAGCCACCCTCTCTGCTGCTTTTCCCAGGTGCATTAGCAGGGAGCTGGATCGGGAGTGCAGCGGCTGGGACACAAACTGGTGTCCACAGGGGATGCCAGCCTCCCAGCAAGGGGCTTAACCCACTATGCCACAACACTGTCCCCAGTGGGAACACTTTGTGGCAAGGAAACCATCAACTGGAATTATCCTAGGAAATAAAGGCATATTCACTGTATTCCAAAACTATGAGAGTAGCATGTGACAATTTGACCCACTCTGTCTCATTTCACTTTCTCAAACTTTTTTTTTAAAGACTTATTTATTTGAAAGGCAGAGTTATAGAGAGGGGGAGAGTAAGCTTCCGTTCATTGGTTCATTCCCCAAATGGCCACAACAGCCAGAGCTGGGCCAGGTTGAAGCCAGGAGCCTGGGACTCCATCCAGTTATCCCACATGGGTGCAGGGCTCAATGATGTGGGCCATCTTCTGTTGCTTTCCCAGGTGCATTAGCAGGGAGCTGGATCAGAATTGGAGCAGCCGGGACTTGAACTAGTGCCCGTATGGGATGTTAGTATCCCAGGTGGGGACTTGGACTCACTGCGCCACAATGCCAACCCCATAATTTTTTCTTTCATCCTAAACAGCCTTATCCTTATGAAGTGATTATCTGTTTACTGGTATTCATGTAGTTAGGTTCAGTTGAAGCAGGGGCTTTGGCCTGCACTTTTTATTTTTAAATTTCAGTGTCTTCATTGTTTTATTTATTTATTTAGGATTTATCTGAAAGGCAGAGAGGGGGAGAGAAAGTCTTCCATCTGCTGGCTCACTCCCCCCACATGGCTGCAGCAGCCAGAGCTGGGCTGATCTGAAGCCAGGAGCCAAGAGCTCACGCAGGCACAGAGGCACAAGCACTTGGGCCATCTTCTACTGCTTTCCCAGGCCAGAGAGCCAGATCAGAGGTGGAGCAGCCGGGTCTCAAACCAGTGTGCATATGGGATGCCAGTACTGCAGGTGGCAGCTTTACCTGCTACGCCATAGCACCAGCCCGATTTGTTAAACTTGAGGTGATTCTCTTTTAATTTTATTAAAGAATTTGTTTATTTGAAAGGCAGAGTCAGAAAGACTGATTTTCCATCTGCTGGTCCACTCCCCAAATGTCCAAAACAGCCAGGGCTGGGCCAGGCCAAAGCCAGGATCCTGGAGTCCCACTGAGTCTCCCACATGGGTGGCAAGGGCCCAAGGACTTACACCATCTTCCGCAGCTTTCCCAGGCACGTTAGCAGGGAGCAGTGGGGACTGGAACGGGCACTCAGTTGTGGGGTGCTGGTAGTGCAGGGGACAGCTTGACCTGCCGCACCACCGTGCCGGCCGCAGTCCTGTTCTTTGTGAGATGCCTGAGTGTTTCAGGGAGGTGGCTTCTGGCTCGGTGTCCTGGAGAATTTTCCGATAAAGTTTGTCGTGAGCTGAATGTGTGTGTCCCGTCCCCATACAGGGCTGAATTCAGTCCCCTGTGTGACGGTGTGGCGTGGGGCCTTCAGCAGGTGCTTAGGTCGTGAGCACGGGGCCTCCTGAGTGGGATCAGTGCCTTGACAGGAAGAGCTGGTGAGCCAGCCACGGGGGGATCTGGGGACATGGTGTGGGAAGAGGCCAGTGATCCAGCCACGGGGGATCTGGGGACACGGTGTGGGAAGAGGCCGGTGAGCCAGCCACGGGGGGATCTGGGGACATGGTGTGGGAAGAGGCCGGTGAGCCAGCCACGGGGGATCTGGGGACATGGTGTGGGAAGAGGCCGGTGAGCCAGCCACGGGGGATCTGGGGACATGGTATGGGAAGAGACTGGTGATCCAGCCATGGGGGTATCTGGGGACACGGTGTGGGAAGAGGCCGGTGAGCCAGCCACGGGGGATCTGGGGAGCCAGCCATGGGAGGATCCAGGGGAAGGCATGAGAAGTCGGTGATCCAGCCACAGGGGGATCCGCAGAGACGGTGTGGGAAGAGGCTGGTGAGCCAGCCACGGGGGGAATCCGGCAGCCTCACCAGACCTGACCGTGTCAGGCTCCGGTCTCAGACCCACGAGGTTGGCATGCCTGCTATCTCAGGCATGCGGCTGATGGATGGCAGTTTGTCACAGCAGCTTTCTCCTGTCTCTTGCAGAGGGACCTGGTGTGGGTCTGCCGCTGGACCTTGTTTAGAGGTCCCTTGCAGCCCCAGCTGTCTACAAACTCCTGGGACAGGTCTGAATCGTCTTTGAGTCTTCAACGTGCAGAGGAGAGATGCTTGGGAAATGCGAGAGCCGCGAGACCCATCGGGACGCCCTGGCGGGACGGTGGCGAGCTGAGCAAGCCCTCCTCCACCCTGAGCCTCTGCGTCCTCCTTGAAGAGGCCACAACAGGAGCCCCGCCCCCCGTGTGCTGGGAGGACAAGGCCCAGCCAGCAGGAGGGTGGGACACAGGGCAACACGGTGCCCAAGGCCCAGTGCTCCCCATTTATAGAGAGAACAGGACTGGCAAGAACTGGGGGGGCATACAACCACGGGGCCACGCGGCTGCACCACGGGGCCACGCGGCTCCCGCCACTTGCTTGCGTGCATCCTTGTGCCCACCCCTCAGTGCTCAAGCAGGCTCTACCTTGGCTCTCAGAGGGCCGTGAGCTGGGCACAGATCTGTGTCCGTGGTGGACTGGGAAGATGCCTCTCTCCTTCCCACCCCTGCCCAGCCCAGCACCAGCAGCAGCTGCCCAGCCCAGCACCAGCAGCAGCCGCCCGCCCTCTGGGTGGTCCTGGTCCTCAGCCCTGAGGCCCTGGTCTCCCCACTGTTCCCCAGGGACCTGCTTTGTTTACAGCTCCTCCCTGCTCCTCAGAAAACAAGCCAACAGAAACTCAATTGTTCTCCCACTGGCCCTGGGCAGGGATGAGGGCTAGCATATTATTATTTTATAGACAACATGAATAATAAAATACGCCATAAAATAGCGTTGGCTACACAGCAGAGAGTCCATAAACGCTTGCTGGCCTAAAGCAAAAAACCACTGCCTCCGAAGATTTTCCCACTGCTGCGCCTGCTGAGGGGTCACTCCTGTCCCCAACAACTTTCCAAAAGGCATTTTTAATGGGAAAATAAAACACACGCATGTGGTGAGAGATTCAAAGAGTGATGAAAGCACACGGGGGAGGCAGCCTCTTTCTCGCTCGCGTCCTACCCTGGGCCCGCCCCAGCCCGGGAGCTGGGTCCCTGGGCCCTCTCGCCTGCTGGCGATGCCAGCTACCGCACCGGCGGACCCCCGGCGTGTCCAGGAGGCACACCCGGACAGGGGGCGGGGGCTTGCGGGCGCTCTGCCGCAGGAGTTCTTGGGGAGGCGGCTTTAAAAAGGCTATGTGTGTGTGTATATATATATATATATATATATATTGCTTTGGAAAGCGCGCACAGAGGTCTCCTTGCTCTGGTTCTGAGGCCCGCCACAGCCTGACCCTGGGCGCAGGGGCCATCCAACCAGGCTGCCCACGGGGGCGGCGGGGACCCCAGAACCCCAGCCCTTAGCCGCGGCCTCCGGGCTGTATCGGAGACGGCGCCGGCACTCGCACCCCGACGCTCGGCTCTGGGATGCCCGCTCGGCTCTGGGATGCGAGGGGCGCCGGAGGGGTCGGCGGGAGGCCAGGAGAAAGGGCGGGCCCAGGGAGCAGCAGCCGCCCCCGCGCTCCGCGTCACCGTCCTCCCCGCCCCTCGCCTCCCTCGCGCGCTTCCGCCCCGACCTCCCACAAACCCCGGCGCGGATCGCGGCCCGGGGCCAGCCTCCGCGCACGCGCGGTAGCAGCGCCGGCGCCGCCGCCTGCCGGGAGCTCCAGTGCTGAGGCGGGGAAGCGGCTGTAGAGGCTGCCCGGACCCGCTGTCCGCCAGGCCGTTGGCTCCCGCTCCGGGCCCGGGGCCACCGGCTGTGTAAGTGCAACCCGGGGGGCTCCCGGCCTGGGGGTCCGGGCCGGCAGCGGGAGGGCGGTGTGTCCGGCTGCGGGGCTCGCCCAGCCCACACCTGGCCGGGTCCGCCCGCCCCGCGGGGCCAGCTCGCGCTTGCCTCAGGCCCCGTTCCCTTTGCCTCGCGCCCTGTGTGCACCTGTCAAGGGCCGTGCCCACACCTGCCCCGGGCCCCGCACGGCCTGGGCTCTCTGGTCCGAGGCGGTCGTACCCTTTCCGCTCTTCCGCCTCCTGGCGCTCTGCGGCCGCCGGCTTCTTCCCGGGACAGCCTGCAGCGCCGACGCCCCCTGCCCGCCGACCCCGCGCGGGGGGCCCGGGGTCCCCGCCGCTGCCGCTGCCCGGAGGCTCCTTCGCGCCTTTCGTGTGCTGGCCTGGCGGTGGCCACTAGCGGCCCCGGGCCTTCAGTGTCCACCGCGAGTCGTCCCGCTGAGGTCGCGTCCACAGCGCACCCTGTGCGCGTAGACGCGGGGAACGCGGAGTTTCCGCTCGTTAGGGTGCGCTGTGCGCTCTCTCAGCGTCCGCTCACGGCGACGGGCTGGAGATGCGAAACTCAGCCGTTGGAACGCACTTTAAACCCGGCACCGTCCTTTAGTATTATTTTTAAAAGTAGGTTCGTGCACTGACTGCTGGCAGACCTGAGGAATCAGAATCGCTGGGCGTGAGCCTGGGAGATCTGTGTTCTTCCTTAAATGTTTATTTGATGGGAAAGGCAGAGTTCAGTCCCCTGGAAGCGGGAGGCGGAACCCAGTCCAGGTCTCCCAGGGGCGTGGCAGGAGCCGGCACCAGCTGCTACAGCAGGACGCTGGACGGGGGAAGCCGAGCCAGGCCCTGGGATACGGGAGGTGGGAATCTCCGTTGTGTCTTACCTGCTGTGCCGTACACCTGCTGATGCTTTGAGAAGTGCGCTGGGGCTCAGTGGGTGCCGCATCCCATATGGGTGCCAGTTCGAGTCCCGGCTGCTCCACTTCCGATCCAGCTCTCTGCTGTGGCCTGGGAAAGCAGTAGAAGATGGCCCAAGTCCTTGGGCCCCTGCGCCCGCGTGGGAGACCCGGAAGAAGCTCCTGGCACCTGGCTTTGGATCAGCTCAGCCGTTTGGGGAGTGAACCAGTGGAAGGAAGACCTCTCTCTCTGTGTGTGTCTGTGTCTACTTCTCCCTGTAACTCTTTCTTTCAAATAAATAAAATCTTAAAAAAAAAAAAGTGGGCTATAGCTTCTCCCCATGCAGGCCACTGTGGTGAACATGGAGTTGGGGCACCAGGAGCATGATTTGCAGATGGCAAGGTTTTATTCTATGTGTTTAAATTATTATTTTAAAGATTTCATTTATTTGAAAGAGTGACAGATTTTTCTATCTGCTGGTTTGCTCCCCAAAGGGCTTTAACAGCTGCGGCTGGGCCAGGCGGAAGCTGGGAGCCAGGAGCTCCATCTGGGTCTCCCGCAGGGGTGACAGGGACCCAAGTCCTTCAGCCATCAGCGCTGCCTCCCGTGGTGCCCTTAGCAGGAGGCTGGATTGGAAGTAGTGGGTAGCAGGCAGGGTCCGTGGACCAGGCAGCTGGTGTGGGACGCGCACCTCCCATCGGCGGCTTAACTCCCTGTGCTACTCGGCTGCCCCTGTTTGCTTTTTGAATTGTGTGGCTGACGAATAGTGTAGAGGAAAAAGTAGGTGTCAGGAAATGATGGCGTTCAGCTATCCTGATGTCCACTGTCCACAGTGTCCAGTTCAGTGGCCTCAGTCCACTGAGTGGCCATTGCCCTCCCAGAGCACACTCGTCACCCCGGGAGAGGCTCTGCACCGTGAGCGGTCATGGCCGTCCTGGTGGCCACTGGCTGACTTCCTGTCTATGGGCTTGCGCGTTCATGCCGCTGTGCGTTCGTGGAGCCACGCAGCGCGCGTCTTTTGTGTCTGGCTCCCTTCACACAGTGGCCTGTGTTCAGGCTCCCTCCGTGGTGGGAGGTGCCTCCGCGCTCTGCTCCTTTTGCTGGCCGAGCGCTGTTCCGTCGCGTGGAGATAGTACTGCGTGTCTGTTTAGCCTGCTGGACATCTGCTTTTCCCACTTCCTGGTTATTGTGAACAATGCTGTTGTGGTATTCACGTTCCAGTTTCTGGAGTGGACACAAGGTCTTTTTTTTTTTTTAAAGATGTATTTATTTCAAAGTCAGAGTTACACAGAGAGAGGAGAGGCAGAGAGAGAGAGACAGAGAGAGAGAGGGAGAGAGGTCTTCCATCCACTGGTTCACTCCCCAGTTGGCAGCAATGGCCAGAGCTGTGCTGATCTGAAGCCAGGAGCTTCCTTCGTGTCTCCCATGCGGGTGCAGGGCCCAAGGACTTGAGTCATCCTCCACTGCTTTCCCAGGCCACAGCAGAGAACTGGATCGGTAGTGGAGCAGCCGGGTCTCAAACCAGCGCCCACGTGGGATGCCGGCGCTTCAGGCCAGGGCGTTAATCCAGTGCACCACAGCATAGCCCCCACGTGGTCTTGAGTAGGACTCAGGAGTAGGACTGCTGGCTCTCCGTGTTTAACGTTTTGAGGCACTACTAGGTTGAAGAAACACACTTCTTATGTTGTAAGGTTTGTACAGCCTTCCCCTCACCCGCAGGGTTCAGCTTCCGGGGGTGCCTGAAGCCATGGCTAGTGCATGTCCTGTGTGTTCTGCCATGTGTATGAGCCTGTGACAAAGCTCAGTGCCATGGCTAGTGCATGTCCTGTGTGTTCTGCTATGTGTATGAGCCTGTGACAAAGCTCAGTTGCTAAATGAAGCTCAACAAGAGAATAACAATAACCGACAGTGAAATACGACAGTCACAGTGCGGAAACTGCCAGCAGTTCTGCTTAGCACTCGGAGTTATCAGTAAGTGAATTAAGGGTTCCCTGAGCACGCACCACTGTGGCTGCTTGGATAACCGAGACCTCAAACACTGCGGCATCCCTGTAGTTGCTCCCACAGCAAGACAGCTGTGCAGTGGCTCACCGAGTGCTGCTCCGGCCTTCCTCACTGCTCAGCAGCGTGTAATTGAAAACTTACAGATGGTTTATTTCTGGAGCTTCCCAGGTGTTATTCGTGGACCACGGTTGACCATAGGTAATGGAAACCGTGGAGAGTGCCCCCCAGGGCTAAGGGGGGCTCTTGGGGTGGTTTCTTGGCAGACACAAAAGCGGTATCAGGTTCTCTCTAGAGTGGCAATTGGTTGCTGAGGCTGCTGTGGGCGGGGCCTGGGGCCCGTGGTGCTTGTTTGTTGGGGTGTCTGTGGTGTCAGTGTGGCATGACTCCCAAGGAGCCCGGGCAGGTGTGTGGAGCTTGTTTGTACAGCGTTGGATACACAGCATGAATCTGGAGTGACAGTTCCCAAGAGGGTGGCTCTGGTTCTCGGTGGCCTCTGCCTGTGGCCGTCGGGTCTCCCATGTGCCATGGGTGTGACCCTCTCCAGTTTCTCAGTGCCTCTGGAGAACTGGAGGGGTCATTGGCGTTTCATAAGTCAGCGAGATCCCAGTGGCTGGAGGGCTGACAGCTGAGGGTCCGTTTTTATTTTTGCCGAGACAGGATGCTCAGAAAATGGCCATCTTCCCCTCTCACCATCTTTTTGTGAAAGTATAACATTTTTTAAAGAATATTTATGTGAAAGGCAGGGTTACAGAGAGAGAGGGAGAGGAGGGACACAGAGAGAGAGCTCTTCCATCCACTGGTTCACTCCCCAAATGGCTGCAGCGGCTGGAGGTGTGTGGGCCAGGCTGAAGCCAGGAGCCAGGAGCGTCTGGGTCTCCCATGCGGTGCAGGGCCCAAGCGCTTGGCCCGTCTGCTGCCTTCCTAGGTGCATTAGCAGGGAGCTGCTTGGGAAGTAGAGCAGCCGGGACATGAACTGGCGCCCACGTAGGATGCCGGCATCAAGGTGAGGCTTAACCTGCTGTGCCACAGCACCAGCCCTGGAGCACAGATGGTTTAACACCAAAACCCAGGAGGTGCATAACCTAAAGGGAGTGGGAGTTCATACTTGTCAACACTTACGACTTGGGGTTAGTTTTACGACAGCTCACTCTCCTTGCTGTCCTCATTTTACTTCAGTTGGGAGACCCTGAGCGTTTCCTGCCCCTGGCTTCAGGCCGAGCTGTGTCTGTGACACACTTGCTGTTTTGCGCCTCTTGGGGCTTTGCGAAGGAGCAGCGTAAACCTCACTGACGGGTGGAGGACAGAGGCTGCCTGGCTGACCGAGCCGGACCATGGGCTCCTTGAAGTCAGACCTTCCTCCTTTCTTACCTCTTGACAAAATTGCGAAGTATTTAATGTATCTAATATATGATATTTGTGCATGCAGTACTAGTGTACTTAATATATAATATTTGAAATAAAAACCCTTTTTGACTTATATTTTAAAATATATATTAGTGATATATTCAGTTTTATTTTTTAAAGATTTATTTATTTTAAAGTCAGAGAGAGGGAGTGAACTCTTCCATCCACCGATTCACTCTCCAAATGGCTACAACGGGTTGGTGCTGGGCCACGCTGAAGCCAGGAGCCTGGAACTTTATCCGGGTCTCCCAAGTGGGTGGCAGGGCCCAGGTGCTTGGGCCTTTGTTTGCTCTTTTCCCAGGTGCATTGGCAGGGAGCTGGATCAGAAGTTGAGCAGCCAGGAAGCAAATCGGCACCCCGTTGGAATACTACAATTGCAGGAGGTGGCTTAACCTGCAGCTCCACGATGCTGGCCTCTTACATACATTTTTATTTTTTTGACAGGCAGAGTGGACAGTGAGAGAGAGAGACAGAGAGAAAGGTCTTCCTTTTGCCGTTGGTTCACCCTCCAATGGTCGCTGCGGTGGGCATGCTGCGGCCGGCGCAACACGCTGATCCGAAGGCAGGAGCCAGGTGCTTCTCCTGGTCTCCCATGGGGTGCAGGGCCCAAGTACTTGGGCCATCCTCCACTGCTTTCCCGGGCCACAGCAGAGAGCTGGCCTGGAAGGGGGGCAACCGGGACAGAATCCGGCGCCCCGACCGGCTAGAACCCGGTGTGCCGGCGCCGCAGGTGGAGGATTAGCCTATTGAGCCGTGGTGCTGGCCACATGTGGTTGGTTTTTTTTTTTTTTTTTTTTTTTTTTTTTTTTTTTTTACAGGCAGAGTGGACAGTGAGATAGATACAGAGAGGTCTTCCTTTGCTGTTGGTTCACCCTCCAATGGCTGCCGCGGCTGGTGCGCTGCGGCCGGTGCACTGCGCTGATCTGAAGGCAGGAGCCAGGTGCTTCTCCTGGTCTCCCATGGGGTGCAGGGCCCAAGGACTTGGGCCATCCTCCACTGCACTCCCGGGCCGTAGCAGAGAGCTGGCCTGGAAGAGGGGCAACTGGGACAGAATCCGGTACCCCGACCGGGACTAGAACCCGGTGTGCCGGCGCCGCTAGGCGGAGGATTAGCCTATTGAGCCACAGCGCCAGCCTTACATATGGTTTTAAGAACAGCAAAACAGATGCCCCTGTAGCTACCAGCCAGCTGACGAAACAGCACAGTGGTGCTTCTGAGGCTTGCTGTTTGCTTCTCGCCCTGCATTCCTCCTTGCCCTCTGGGTACCACCATCCACATTTATTTTTCTCTTGTGGCTCTACCACGTGTGTAGGTGTCCCTGAACAATGCACTGAGCGAGCTGTTTGCTGCTGGAGTGTGTGTGTTCATCTGCAACTTGCTTTATTTGCCCTTGGCCAACCTGCTTCTGAGTGTGGCTGTACGTTGTTTGTCCGCCTGTTAAGAGATCATAGTGTATTTGGTCCAGTCTCTGCCAGTGGGCGTTTGAGGGCCCCCAAGCTTGCTTCTGTGAGCCGGTTTCTAGTTCCTGCTGTCTGTACACCAGCCTTCCTCTAGGAGGGCATGGCTAGGTCTGGGGAGCACATGTGCCCACCTTTACCACATGCCGCGTTGGTTTCCAAGCTGAGTCCACCTGTCAGAAGGATTCCCTTTGATCTACATCTCTGCAGACACTTGCTGCCTCCCCTACGTAACAGACGTTGCCTGTCATCACAGTATTAGTCACAGAAGCCAAAAAGTAGGAGCTATGCAGGGCCGCGTGATAATGAATGAGCAGAGCACACACAAGCAGTGTCATTCAACCCTGGCCCGTGCCACGGTGTGGAAGAACCTTGAGTGCAAAGAGCAGTCGCAGAGGGACAGGAGCTGTGTGGTCCACTTAGGCCACCACCTAGTGTAGCGAGAGGCTGAGGGAGGGAGGCTGGGGGCGTGGCCAGCTGATGTCCAGCAGGTGCAGGGACGAGATCGAGTTCTGGAGATGGGTGGTGGTGGGGTTGCACAGTGGTGTGAGTGCGCTCAGTGCCACGGAACAGACACTGGCAGGGTGTGGTTTGTATATGACATGGTTTGGCTGTGGCCACGGTGGCTTTGAAGTGAGGCAGCTTCCTGTGCGGGTTGTGGCCGTCCGTGTCGTCTTCCAAGACGTCTGCTAGAGTGCTTTGCCCACAGCCCAGCTGGGTTGTGTGTCTTTTCCTTACTGATCGTCCGTCGTCCCCGACTGTTTATCCGGAGCCCGGCTCTTCCTGCCGCTCTGCAGTGGCAACTCTGCGGGAATTCAAAGTTCCTTTCCTGTGTGGGTCCGGCCCCGGGCCTGATTTTGTGAGTGGGTCTGCTTACCCCTGGGTCAGTGCTGTGATGCCTGCCCCCTTTTGTCTGCTACCTAGCTGCTTTAAATTTCACTAGTGCGACCTTGTGTGTGTGAGTTGCAAGCATGTAAATGCCAGAGATCAGATCTGGGCCACTCAGGTCCTGGCACGGAATAGCCACGTGCTGGAATCAGAGAGCACCATGGAGAAGCCTGGAATTTTCATGATGCCTTGAAAAGATCTCAGTCACAGGCAACAACTTTGAATTCAGATGTCACAACGGCCAGCGGGCCAGCCCCTCAGCGGTTTTGAGCACTGACGCTGCACTGCCCCTGGCTAGGTGGTGGGAGCTCTCTGCAGGAGCTGAATGCTGAGTCTGGGAGGTGGACTTAGTGGCAGTGTGGGGTAAGAGCTGTGAGAGCCGGGCGTGGAATCCCAAGGGCCCTGGCTCCTCAGCTCGCCGTCCGGGTGGTGCGGTTAGAATCTCTGCGCCCAGAGTGGCCCCGGGCGGTCATTCTGCTGCTCTCAAACCTCGCCTTCTCTCTGGCAGGGACTTCACCATGAGCGTCCCTGACTACATGCAGTGCGCGGAGGACCACCAGACCCTGCTCGTGGTGGTCCAGCCCGTGGGCATCGTCTCCGAGGAGAACTTCTTCAGGATCTACAGGAGGATCTCGTCCGTGAGTCAGGTCAGCGTGCGGGACTCCCAGCGCGTGCTCTACATCCGCTATCGGCACCACTACCCGCCCGAGAACAACGAGTGGGGCGACTTCCAGACCCACCGCAAAGCGGTCGGCCTCATCACCATCACCGACTGCTTCTCAGCCAAGGACTGGCCGCAGACCTTCGAGAAGTTCCACGTGCAGAAGGAGATCTATGGCTCCACGCTGTACGACTCCCGGCTCTTTGTCTTCGGGCTGCAGGGGGAGGTGGCTGAGCAGCCACGCACCGACGTGGCCTTCTACCCCAGCTACGAGGCCTGCGAGAGCGTGGAGAAGAGGATCGAGGACTTCATCGAGTCGCTCTTCATTGTCCTTGAGTCCAAGCGGCTGGATAGAGCCACCGACAAGTCTGGGGACAAGATCCCCCTCCTCTGCGTCCCCTTTGAGAAAAAGGACTTTGTGGGGCTGGACACAGACAGCAGGTAAGTTGACCCGAGGCCCAGGCTCCCCGCTGTGTGGGCGGCTTCCTTAGGTCAGAGGCATGAGCAGGTGGCAGACTTCGCAGTGAAGAGTGGAGAGTGGTGTCTGCTGGTTCAGATGTGGACTACAAGTGGGAACAGCCCTTCAGGGTTTGTGCGTGCGCCTGCTCCCTGAGGGACTCCCTGAGGCGGCTGTCTGTGCTCTAGCCATGGCCACGCTCAGGGAGAGCAGGGGAGAAGGGGCTCCTGCTTGCTGGAGCTCCCCCGTGACCACTGTGGCTAGATCTGGGCTGGCTGAAGTTGAGAGTAAGAAAACTCAATCTAGTCGCCAGGAACCCGGTAACTAGGGTCTTCACAGCTGTTTGCCAGGGTCTGCACTAGCAGGAAGCTGGGGTCAGGAGCCGGAGCTGGGAATTGAACCCAGGCACCTGATGTCGGATTCTTAGCCGGCATCTTTGCTGCTAGCCGTTGCCTGCCCCGGCCTCTGGCATTTGAGCATCAGGACCCAGACCAGTCTGAGTCGAGATGTGTTCTGAATGCACGCCAGATTTTGAGACTCACCATTGAGAAGGGAGTGTAGACCACCTCACTAACATGTAAAAATGTTAGTACTTTATACATATTAGGTTAAATAAAACACGTTGAAGTCAATGTCAGCTATCGTCGTTTACTTTTTAACATGTGGGAGCTGGGGACGCACCTGTGCTTACGTGACCTGCGTCTGTTTCTGCTGGGTGCCGCTGCCCCACTGTGGCTTGAACCCCAGTGTTCAGCCTTGTTGCTGTGCCTTGTGCAGAATACGCTGTGTGGTCCGCGCCGGCACTCTGCCCATGCCAGGTCCACAGGTGTCATCGTGTTAGGACTCCTAAGGACGTCCCTTTGGTGATGAGGGCACTTTAAGCTATTCATGCAAAAGTGAATTAAAAGATCGGTTTATTTTGGTGCAAAAAATTTGGGCTCCATGTGGGTTTTTTCATAATACACATTTTCCGTGAACTTTTTGGAATGTCCTCAGACATGTGCAAAGCAGGTGTGTGGTCTCTGTGGGCCACGGTACGTTGAACGGAGCAGGGCAGGGGCCCCACCTGCTGGGCTGTGAGGTCAGACGTGGCTCCGCAGCAGGCCTGCAAAGGGCGCTGCTCGGCTGCTTGCCTTGCTGCCACCGCTTCACTGCACGAGAGAGACACTGGCCACTAGTGAACACTTGCTCCCCTCTCAAGGGCTGTGCCACTCAGCAGCTTTATGGTCTCAGGCGTGGCCTGGCAATGGAGCCTCCCTTCCCCGTGTACATCTCCCATGACGGGCAGTGAGGATGCAATGGCGTCACGGGCCTGCCCTGCCAGAGAGTCATGGAACTGAGAAGAAATAGGCCAAGTCCATCCCTGGGGGTGGCAGGCACAAAGCAGCCCCAGTCACACCTGAGTCCTACCCTCCCCTGAGTGTGTGCAGACATTGGCTTAAGGGTAGAGAAAGGTGTAGCATCTCCCTGTCCACCAACCTGGGACCTACATGGGTACCTCCATTTGACACACACTCAGGTAGGTTTTGAAACCTACCTGTCAGGTACCGCGTGGCGTTGCTGACACCGCCCCTGCTCTGACTGCAGAGCCTGGGGCCTCCCCGCTCACCTCCATGTGGCTGTTGGGCCACGCGGCCCTGCAGTGGCTACCCCTTGCACAGAGGAGCTGTAGCAGGTGCACTGCCCTGGGCTTTGCTGTGTTTCTCTGTCCCCACAGCAGCTGCAGGAAGGGCAGGGAGCAGCCTGTCCCCACTTCTCAGGGCCGAGGTAATAGCAGACAGGTGTGTACATGAGCTCTGCGCCAGAGGCTCCATGGGCAGCGAGTGAGGCTGCCCTCACAGCCCGTGATGCTCCCTGCTCGACTGCCATACAAACTTGGAGTGACTTGATGGCGTCGGTGCAGGGAATCAAACACCTTCCCTGTTCCCCACGTGCTCTGGTCTTCATGGCTTAGGAACAAAGCTTTCTCCCGCCTGCGCCTCCTGGCCGCGAGAGTGAGAGAATGCTCAGCCCAAAGCAGGAGGCGTCTGTGGCCGCAGGAAGTGCAGCGTCGGTTGGGCCGGCTGGGGTTCTAGACTTGCCAGTAGCCCCTGGTGTGGCGTCCTTGCCAGAACCTGTCAGTCCTCATCCGTGTAGTGTGCAGTTGGTAAAGGCACTTCTGTTCTGGTGTGTTTCTAATTTCTGCTTGTTCCTTTTTCTTTTCCTTTTTCTTTTCTTTCTTTCTTTTCTTTTTTTTTGTCTACCGTTACCGCCCTGTGAGTGTGTTGTTGGGTCTGAAAAGGTAGGCTGAGAATGGTTTGCATCAACCTTAGCTAGATTGCCCGGTGCTGCCTCCCCGTAGCCCTCCTCGCTTCAAAACAGACACTTTCCGCTGCCTAAATCCATCCATCAGCCGGGGAACCCTGCAGTGTTGTAACTCTGGCTTTCCGAGCACCTAACCCGTGCTGTTTGATCCCGGTTGACCGACTTGCTCGGGGGACTTGGTGGGGCCCTCATTCATCCTGGTTCCTCCGGAGGCAGCAGACTGCCACAGAGGGACTTGTCAGGGAGACTCTGAGGCTGTAGCGCCCTGCTGGACCTGAAGCTTGTCGGCGTCCCTCCCGGGCATGTGAGTCTTGGCTGTGGCTGCTGGATGTGCATGACCGTGCCAGGCACCTGGCCCAGGTGTGTGCTGGGGGCAGGGTAGCTGCAGGCGGGGGCTGGCACTGCTCGGCTGTTCTTTTGCTGTCGCCTTGAGCATGCAACTGTTTTCTGTTTCCTTTGCCTCGGCCACTTTCCCCTCAAAGCGGGGAGAGGCTGTGGTAGAACCCACGCCAGCCTTTTGCCCCCTCGGTGAAGGCCAGTGCTCTTTCCCTACGTCGCTGAGAGAGCCGGCCCTCTCCTAAGAAACGAGTTCACTCAGATCTCATGGACACCATGGTGTCTGGAACCCACCGCTGGTTTCCTCTCTGCCTCAGCCAGCCAGCGCTAGAGGCTAGCTAGGTGGTTCACCTGCAGCGGGCGAGAGAGAGCCGGGGCTGCCTTGGTCAGGGCTGATGCCTGCCCCGTGCCACTGGTCGAGAACCCTGACACCCGCAGGACAGTCCTTGGCTGACCTGTCTCTCCCCACCACCCGTGTTTTCGTTCTACCGTAGGGAAAGCTTTGTGCCACTGGCGCCAGTGTGAGCCCAGCTCTTTAAAGCTCTGGTGCAGTGGAACCTTTGCGTCCTTGGTTTACTTGGTCTCAGTTGAGGGAGGCCTTCTGAAAGATCTGCTCACGGTCTAGGGAGGGGCAAACAGACACGAGGGTAGCGAGCCCAGGAGCTGGAAATGCAGGTAGAGACCCTCCTGCTCCTCCCTGGAGCCCGGGGTCCGTGTGAGGGCAGCCTGGCTGGGCGTCCCTTCTCTCCTCCTCGCTCCTGGCAGGCTCGTCATTCAGGTCGTCATCACCCAGGAGCCCTGCGCATATCAAACCCTCCCAGGATCAGACCGTGGAGAACCCTGACACCTCTCCTCCCGTCCTGGGTTGTCTTAGGGGCCCCTGAATGACAGACAAGTGCCTTTCCCAAGTGACCTGCGCAGGAGAGGCCTGCAGTGCCGTACCCTGGGGGGAAACTCAGCCCGTGTCCACTGGGTGCCTGCTGTGTGCTGGGCTAAGCTGTGGGACCAAGTTGAGGTGTACTTTTTTTGTTTTAATATTTATTTATCTGAAAGGCAGAGTGACAGGCAGAGAGAGAAGAGAGAATCTTCCATCCACTAGTTCACTCCTCAGATGGTTGCAACTGCCAGAGCTGGGCCAATCTGAAGCCAGGAGCTTCTTCCTGGTCTCCCGTGCAGGGGCAGGGGCCCAAGGACTTTGGCCAGCTTCTACTTGCTTTCCCTGGCCATAGCAGAGAGCTGGATTGGAAGTGGAGCAGTCGGGACTCCAACTGGTGCCCAGATGGGATGCCCGCACTGCAGATGGAGGCCTAGCCTACTGTGCCACAGCACTGGCCCCTGGATATTATTCTGAGGGGTGTGGAGCTTTTAGAGCAGCTCCCATTTATCCTGCAGGCGCTGGGGTCGGGGCTGCCAAGAAAGCAGTCTGGAGGGAGTGATGCATTTCAGTCACCGCCTGTGGCAGGGTGGAGGGCGCCAGCCTGTGCAGGAGCAGGGTTGAGTGGGCGTGGGGAGAGTCGGGCTGTCTCTGAAGGAGGGGTGGGGCTCCCAGTGGGGTGGAAGGCAGATTGGGTGGGATTCCGGTGGGGGAGGACCTGAGAAGGACTGCTGGGTGGTCAGGGTCGTCTCTCCCCTGAGTAGCCTTGCAGAGGCAGATGTCCATCTGAGTGGGAGGTGCTGTGTCGCGCGGAGACTGGGACTGGGAAGGGGAGGACAGTCTGTCCCCAGTGGGTTGGTGTGGACCAGGCAGGGAGTAGCATGAGGCTGCAAGGCTCAGAGGTGCAGGGCCTGCATGCCGGGCACCAGTCAGCCACCTGGTCACATGCAGGCCGGTTCCCTAGGCCAGGAAGCACTCAGAGAAGCCAGGTCAGCAGCCCAGAGCCACGCAGCTGGCGCGTGGGGGAGCAGGGTCCAGATCCGGGCACGTTTTCTCTGCTGATGGCACTGTGGTCCTCACGGCAGTCTGGGAGCCTTCAGGGAGAGCTCCCGGGAGTGCTGCAGCTTCCCACAGTTTCTTTGCATAGCAATTGGCTTTTGGACTGGAAGACCAAGCTCTTGTTTTCCACGAGCCACGTAAAGAGTATGAAAGTGTCCTTTGTTTGGTCAGGCGTCGTGAACGTCACACAGCCTGTGCGTGTAACTGAACTTTGATCAGGTCCAGTGCAGTGGAAGGACACTCCGAGCGCCTCCTGTGAGTGTGCTGGATGCCACGTTCAAGTGCATCCAACAATTGTGTCGTCTTAATTCCATTATCTGCTTCTAAAGTTATCTTTTGTTATTTGAGAGGCAGAGAGCGAGCTCCCGTGTCTGTCTTCCCTCTCAAGATGTCTGGAGTGAGCAGGACTGGGCCAGGCTGAAGCCAGAGCTGGAGCCTTAGTCTGAGTCTCCCGCGTGGGCAGCAGGAGCACAAGCACTTGAGCCGTCGCCATGGCCTCCACAGGGTGTGTGCTGGCAGGAAGCTGGAGTCTGGAGCTGGGCACTGAACCCGGATCCTCCGATTTGGGTCGTAGCATCTTAGCTGCTGGGATAAGGGCCTGCCCCTGTTACCCATCTCTTGGCATGTCAGAGGATTACAGCGGAATTGCTTGCAATCTAGGGACTGTTCGGTCTTGGGTATACTGTACTCTGAGAGCTGTGCTTGATTTTATGTACATCTAAGGTAAGAATTTTGTTTGTAGGTGTTTGGAGATTTCCACCAACTATTAGGGTTCATTTTATTTTTATTTATTTTTTTGACAGGCAGAGTGGACAGTGAGAAAGAGAGACAGAGAGAAAGGTCTTCCTTTGCCTTTGGTTCACCCTCCAATGGCCGCTGCGGACGGCGCACTGCGCTGATCCGATGGCAGGAGCCAGGTGCTTATCCTGGTCTCCCATGCAGGTGCAGGGCCCAAGCACTTGGGCCATCCTCCACTGCACTCCCGGGCCATAGCAGAGAGCTGGCCTGGAAGAGGGGCAACCGGGACAGAATCCGGCACCCCGACTGGGACTAGAACCCGGTGTGCTGGCGCCGCAAGGCGGAGGATTAGCCTAGTGAGCCGTGGCGCTGGCCGGGTTCATTTTATTTTTATATGATTAAAAATATTTATTGAATCATGTGAACTTAATACAAAAGACAGTATTGGGGCCAGCACTGTGGTACAGCGTATTAAGCTGCCACCTGCTGTGCTGGCATTCCCAAAGAGGCCAGGTTCAAGACCCAGCTGTTCCACTTCTGATCCAGTTCCCTGCTAATGTGCCTAGGAAGGCAGCAGAAGATAGCCAAGTCATTGGGCCTCTGCCACCCATTTGGGAGACCCTGATAAAGTTCCTGGCTCCTGGTTCTACCTGGCTCAGCCCTGGCCATTGCAGCCATCTGAGGAGTGAGCCAAAGGATGGCAGATTTGTCTGCCTCTTACCCTCTCTCTAATTCTGCCTTTCAAATAAATAAATACATCTTAAAAAAAAAGAAAAACAGTATTTGTCTTTTGTGTTTTAAGATTTATTGTTTGAAAGGCAGAGTTAGAGAGAGAGACACAGAGAGTGAGCAAGTGAGACCTGTGCACTGGTTCACTCCCCCAATGGCTGCAACATTCAGAGCTGGGCTGATCTGAAGCCAGGGGCCAGGCGCTTCCTCCAGGTCTCCCATGTGGGTGCAGGGCCCCAAGCACTTGGGCCATCTTCTGTTGCCTTTCCAGGTGCATTAGCAGGGAGCTGAATCGGAAGTGGAACAGCCAGAACTCAAACCAGTGCTCCGGTGTGGGTTGCCAGTATTGTGAGTGGTGGCTTAACCCGCTGTATCCCAATACCAGTCTCATGTCTGTACTTTTTGTTTTTGAAAAACACCTGGCTGTGTTGCTTGATACCAGGTGTGCACTTCTGTGAAGTTCTTGTGGAGAGGTCAGGATTTACTTTTTTAAAAAGTTTATTAATTTGAGAGACAGAGTTACAGACAGAGGGAGAGACAGAGAGAGGTTTTTCCACCCGCTGGTTCACTCCATAAGTGGCTGCAGTGGCCAGAACTGGACCGATCCGAAGCCAGGAGCCAGGAGCTTCTTCCGGGTATCCCTTAGGAGTGTAGGGTCCAAGGACTTGGGCCATCTTCCAGTGCTTTCCCAGGCCATTATTTGCAGGGAGCTGGATTGGAAGTGGAGCAGCTGAGAATTGAACGGGAACACATATGGGATGCTGGCGCTGTAGGTGGAGGCTTAACATGCTGCCCCACAGTGCTGGCCCGGGATTTACCTTTTGGGAGGAGTCAAGGCAGGACGGGTCAAAGCCAACGTTTGTGTGAAGTCTGTAAAATCTGAGCGAATGCTAGTGTCTGTGAGCTGCCCCACGGCAGAGCCGGCAGTCTTGTCCCTGGAGGGGTGAGTGTTGGTTCCGGTGTGAAGGAGATAGCACAGCACGGAGGTTTCTGTGAGCTGAGGTCGTGTCTTCTCCTCCCCGGAATAAGTGGACAGGGCAGGACTCTGCAGGTCACGGGTCTCGCTTCTGTCATTTGTAGCAGGTGGCGGCAGAGAACCTCTGCACAGGGAGAGCTTCTTAGTGGCTGGACTGCTCCTTTCTCTCCCTAACAGATCCAGTGGCATAGGACACGTAGGTGAGAGTCCGCGACGTGGCACCTGGACTATGGTGTTCCCTCTTCTCCTCTCTGTCTTCTTCTCAGGTGCCCTGGAGAGGTCCTGTGTTAATGCAGGGGGTAGACAGATAGTCATTATCTGGGTAGTGACTGCCGTGCTATTGGGAGGCCCAGCCGAGAGCTAAAGCCTGTTTTCAGGGGACACTTCCTGGCGCAGAAGGGCTCTGTGTTGGGTCCTGAAGTCAGAGTGAGAGTCGGGCAGATGCAGGGGCAGCCTGGCTGGGAGGCTGGTGGAGCCTGCTGTGCACCAGCCAGGGTACAAGTCTTGTTTGCCAGTGCCAAGTGCTCTGCTAATAATACACAGCATCTCTCTCTATATATGAAATAATAATAGGCTCGGAGCTAAGAAAGTGGAAGATAATTGATTCTTTAAAAAGCTGGAGCAAACTTCCTTGGGCTAATGCTGTGGTTGGAAAATCTGGAGAGGAAGCCCTGACTCCGGCATTGTCTCCCTGAAATCCCAGGTCCCGGGAACCTGCTTTGCCTTTATGAATCCCTCGGCAGCATGTCCTTGAAGCCAGCCCTGCTCCTGCCCAAGCAATGGCTAAGAGCTGTTGCTGGCTTTCGGTGGCAGAGCCCAGAGCTGCCTCGTGAGCGCTTTCCGGCGGTGGGCGAACGGCGTGGTGCTTAGCCCGCGGCCGTGCCTGGGGTGGGAGTTGTGTGGCGAGCGTGATGCACTCCTGTCCCATCTTACCTTGCAGGCATTATAAGAAGCGGTGCCAGGGGCGCATGCGGAAGCACGTGGGGGACCTGTGCCTGCAGGCCGGGATGCTGCAGGATGCCTTGGTGCACTACCACATGGCCGTGGAGCTGCTGCGCTCCGTCAACGACTTCCTGTGGCTTGGAGGTGAGGGTCAGGGGAGGGCATGTCCCAGCTGTTACTGGAAACCAGAGACGAGAGAGGGAAGCGGAGGTGAAGGACTGTCTGGCACCACCTCCATCCTCCTCTGCTGCCCTTCGGCCTGGACCTCCCTCCGCTCCTGGGCTTCCTTCTTCCAACGTTCTGAGCACAACGTGCCCTCTCTCTGCTCAGAACCCACTCCCGTGGCCTTCACCTCTCCCACTCACTCCTCCATCAGATGACGCGTGCACGGCAAGTGTGCCGTGTGCCTACAGTGGAAGATCATTCAGCCATGGACGTGAACGGCAGCCTGACTGCTACAGCCACACAAACCTGCCAGCCAGTGCTAGGTGACAGAGGCCAGACGCAGAAGGCCGCCTGCCGCGGGATTCCATTTGTAGGAAATGTCCAAGGCAGGGGACTCTGTTTCAGGAGCTGGATGTGACTGTTAATGGACGTGTGGTTTCTTTGTGGGGTGGTGAGAATGTTCTGAAACATTTGCATGCCCTCATGAACCTGCTAGAAATGGCTGAATTGTATACTTCAAGTGTAGTGTGTGAATTTTATCTCGATTTTTAAAATTAGAAAAAGAAAAGCAGAAAATCTCCTTGCAAGATGCCTCTGGCGTCCCCAGGCCGTCAGGAGTGCCTGGCGCTGACTCTGGGCGCCGGGACTGCTTGTTGATGTGTGTTTTCCCTTCAGAGGCTGTGTCGGTGGGAGTGGGAGGCGTGAATGGTGTCGCCGCCTCTGGGTGTGCCCATCGTCCAGCAATGGAGTGTGTCCCACGGCCTGCTAAGCCAGTGCCGGGGCAGCAGGACTGAAAGCTGTCTGCTGCTTGTGGCGAGCCAAGTCAGAGGGAGGTCCTGCAGTAAGTTCTGAGGTGGTGCTAGAGAGCGTGTGGAGCGCAGGAAACACCGGAGACTCCGGTCTCGTGGTGCGGTGGACGGTGTGGGGCGTGTTCTGGCCCTGCCTTGCTGGGATGACTGTGTGGCAGCTCAGTCCAGGCTGCGTTCTGCTCCTTGGCTCTGCAGCTGCAGAATCTGGCATGGAATCTGCCGCACGGTGCGTGTCAGAGGCTGCGTGAGTGAGTGAATGAGGAGGCTGCCCTGTTCGCCCGTGCGCTCAGCTCCTCAGGGAAACCTCGAGTGTCGTGAGAGGCTTCCGCGTTGCCAGGCCTGACGTGGGCCTGCGAGAGACAGGCGGCAACTTCCTGTTTGCAGCAAAACTGGTTAAATCTGGGTTTGATCTTTGTTTTTTGGGGACAATTGGCATTTCCAAACGTGTGCCTGTCTGAGTCCTTCTTAGCTAATGAGAGCCACGTTACTAACTGTGCTGTTTCTCCCCACGCCAGCTGCCCTGGAAGGACTGTGCTCAGCTTCTGTCATCTCGCACTATCCTGGCGGAACCGGTGGTAAGACCGGAGCCCGAAGGCTCCTTGGTAGCTCCCTTCCCGCGGAAGCAGCCAACAGACACCGGCCAGGTGAGCCCTCCCTCCCCGGCCTGGCCCCATGCGGCCTTCCCAGGAAGCGCAGGGAAGTCGCCTTCCCTCTGAGTGAGGCCTGAGCAACGTTTAAGTAAAGCACATGCTCTTTTGAGTCTGCAATCTCGCACGAGCCGTTTTCTGGGCTTTGTCCAGGGCTTTTATTGGTCGTAGGGCGCTCTGTTAGTGGGTCTCAGGATGGGCTGACTGCTGCAAGACTCACACGCAGTTTTCTGGCAGAAAGGGCTGGAGGTTCTGTGTCCGGGCTGCCTTTGGCATTTCCACGCCTTGGGTGAAGCCAGTCCCAGAGGTCGGTTCACACAGCTAATTTGGGGCTGGGGGCCGTGTCTGATTTTAGCGGTTGATGAAGTTAGGGTTGATTTGCTCAGGTTTGTCAGCATCAGTGAAGGGAGGTTTGAGGGAGCACACCCCTCAATGCTGAATGAACTTGAACCTTAGCTCCCTTAATGGATGAACTTGCCTTTGAATGGTTTATTGGGTTGCACAGGTCGCAAAGACGGGCAGGCAAGGCTGGACATGGAAGTGATAGCTCTGTTTTGGTTCATGAGATTTTATTTCAGACATTTCTCCCTCCCCTAATAAGAAGAAAAGTCACTTGTGTGCACTGGGTGGGGTGAGGCCTGCCTGTTTCTTTTTCCCAGAGTTGTGTCACTCCCCGATCATCAGCAAAGCATGCAGAGACCGCCTGTGGGAAGCGGTCACCGTGGCGGCACAGGTGCTTGGGTCGAGTCCGGGTGCGTGCCAGGTGCAGCTGCTTGGGGGAAGCTACAGTGAGGCCTGGAGGGGTGTGCACTGCTCTCCAGCAGAACGTTCCCCCCGCAGCAGGGGTGACGCTGAGTCTGAAGGCTCGGAACAGGAATGTACGCGCCCGTCTCCAGTGCTTGGCTCGGCCGGGATGCACGCTGCGGTGGCCGCCGCCTGGGTGGAGTCCTTGTTGCTGGACTCGCAGTCCCTGAGGTGGGCATGGGCGCTTGGAGCTGCACCGCACTGGCCCTGCTAGTAGGCTCTGTGCTGAAGCCGCCAGCACAGAGAGGCGGAGGCAGCTCCGATTTCTTTTTTTTTTTTTTTTTAATTTTATTTTTTAATTTTATTTTTTATTTTTATTTTTTGACAGGCAGAGTGGACAGTGAGAGAGAGAGACAGAGAGAAAGGTCTTCCTTTGCCGTTGGTTCACCCTCCAATGGCCGCCGCGGCTGGCGCACTGCGGCTGGCACACCGTGCCGATCCGATGGCAGGAGCCAGGAGCCAGGTGCTTTTCTTGGTCTCCCATGGGGTGCAGGGCCCAAGCACCTGGGCCATCCTCCACTGCACTCCCTGGCCACAGCAGAGGGCTGGCCTGGAAGAGGGGCAACTGGGATAGAATCCGGCGCCCCGACCGGGACTAGAACCCGGTGTGCCGGCGCCGCTAGGCGGAGGATTAGCCTAGTGAGCCGCGGCGCCGGCCCCGATTTCTTTTCAGAGAAAGTCTTCCATGCACTGCACCAAAGGCTGTTCTCAGAATTTAGAAAGTAAAGATTAAACAAAATACATTTAAAAATTACCCATGTCCCACCCCCTATAAACTGTAGTCAAGTTTGAAATTGGGAAATAAAAGTCCTCCAAATTTCTGAATTATTACTATTATTTTTTTCCGAGGTGGTTTGTGTTATTCCTGGAGCTGTGATTGCTCCTGTGAACTTTAGGGTCAGTTGGCCAGCCCCCGGGATGAGCCCCCTGGGATTTTGAGAGGGACTGTGCTGAGTCTGGGAGACTTTGGCGAGTTGTGCCTCCTGAGAATCGTGTCTTCCAGTCCACGGACATAAGCTGCCTTTCTGTTTATTGATCTTTACTTTTTTAAGCAGTACTTTCAGTTCTCAGGTATCACTTTATACTTGTTTGTTGTTAGATTGATTCCTAAGAATTTTATTCTTTTTGATGCCATTGTGAATGGAACTGTTATCTTAATTTCATTTTCAAGTGGTTCTTTGCAAGTATATGGAAATAGGATTAATTTCTTATCTATCCTGTAACCTTGCTGAATGAATTAATGTATTAGCTCCAGTGGTTCTTTTAGTAGATTCTTTAGGATTTTCTGTATGAGAGATCATATCACCTGGAAATAGAGTTATACTTCTTCCTTTCCAACGTGGAAAATGGAACTTCTGATCGTGGGGGCACAGCCTTCCGTCTTCCCCGTTAAGCACCGTGTTAGCTGTGGGTGTGCTTGTCACCAGGTGGAGAGCGTCCCCTTCCGCGGTGAGCGCTTTTCTTATCGTCAGACGGTGTTGGACTTGCCGAATGTTTTTTCTGTGTCTGTCAGTGATCATGCGGCTTTTGCAAGGAACTCCATTTTCAGCTCTCACATAGAGGTGCAGGGGCCCAAGTACTTGGGCCATCTTTTGCTGCTTTCCTGGGCACAATTAGCAGGGAGCTGGATCAGAACTGGAGCAGCTGGGACTTGAACTGGTGCTCATATTGGATGCCAGTGTCACAGAGGGCAGCATAACCCACTGTGTCACAATGCTGGCCCCAGTGTTTTATTTCTTGCTTGATCCAGTTTGCTAGTATTTTGTTGAGGATTTCTGCAACTTTTTTTTTTTTTAAGACTTATTTATTTGGAAGACAGAGTTAGAGAGGGAGAGACAGAGATCTTCCATCTGTTGGTTCATTCCCCAAATGGCTGCAGTGGTCAGGGCTGGGAGCTTCTTCCAGTTTTTCCACATGGGTGCAGGGTCCCAAGCATGTGGGCCGTCTGCTGCTTTTCCCAGGCATATTAGCAGGGAGCTGGATCAGAAGTGGAGCAGCCTGGGCTCAAACCATCGCCCATGTGGGGTGCTGGTACTGCAGGTGGCGCTTCACTGGCTGTGCCACAGCACCGCCCCCTGCATCTGTGTTTTGAGATGGCGGTCTGCATGTTCTTCGCTTTGGCATCTTTCTCTGTTTCCTGGGAGAGTTGTTGTTTACTGATCAGTCTCTTCACTTGTTACGAGCCTGTTCAGATTCTCTCTCTCCTCTTGAGTCAGTTCTGCTATTTAGCTTTTCCCATCTCATCCAGATTATACAATTTAATGCCAATCAGTTGTTCGTCGTGTTTGCTTGTAGTCCTTTTTATTCCTGTGGTGTTGATCGTAACGTCTGCGTCTTAGCCCTGCTTCTAGTAATTTGAGTCTTTTGTCTTTTTTTCTTGGAGGTTTGTAATTTGTCAGTTTTGTCGATTACTTTAAACAGTCAACCTTTGATTTTGCTGATTTTTCTCTTCTCTGTTTCTGCTCTGATCGTTGTTGTTTCTTTCCTTCTGCTTGCTTTGAATTTAGTTTGCTTTCCATTTCCTAGTTTCTTAGGTTGCTGGCTTTGGATCATTCTTTCTTTTCAACGTGGGTATCTGTAGCTCCTGGCACTGCTTCTGTGGCCTTTCCTTTTGGGTGAACTGTGTCTGTTCTCATTCATCTTAAAGTACTTTCTGATTTCCCCTGAGATTCCTCCCTTGCCTCGCTGGTTATTCAGCAGTGTGCCGCCGCATTTCCAGGTGTTGCGGATGTCCCGCAGGCCCCTGTGAGTCCTGAGGGAACTCTGTTGTTGTCGAACAGCGTATTTGCATGACTTGCATGTACTTAGGTTTGTTGAGCTGTATTTCAGGCCTAGCACGGCTCCATCCTGGAGAATGTTCCTGTGTGCCTGAGAGGAATGCGTGTTCTGTTGCCGGGTGGAGCGTGGGCGTCTGCTAGGTCTACCAGTCGTCAGGCTCTTCTGGCAGCTCACCTAAAGCCACCCCACCTGCAGTGTTCCTGCATTTGTTGCTCTTGAATTCTTTTGATCTGCATCCCCAGTCTCACTCCAAGATTTTAGTTTCCTTGGGGGAAATAAGGGACAACAGACCCTTGTCCTAGGCTCTAGTGGAGCCTGGCAGCTGTCAGACAGGGCAGAGGGAGGCTTGGCTCACGTCCTGTTGGTCCTGGGTCCCTAGTGGTGACGGAATCGCAGCACAGATTGCTGTGGGGTCCTTGCCCAGGGCCCGGCACAGAGGAAGTGCACGGAGGGTATTGCAGCTCACAGAGCGATGCGCTCTGCTCACAGCCTGCGATCCCAGTGTGTAACCTGTTGTCTGCATTGTCATCTTCCTCTCGTTACATTCCCATGGTGTATGTTTCAGTGTTCTGTCTCTTCGGAAGTACATTCTGTTTTTAATAGACTTACTTTGTGGCCGGCGCCGCGGCTCACTAGGCTAATCCTCCGCCTGCGGCGCCGGCACACTGGGTTCTAGTCCCGGTCGGGGCACCGGATTCTGTCCCGGTTGCCCCTCTTCCAGGCCAGCTCTCTGCTGTGGCCAGGGAGTGCAGTGGAGGATGGCCCAAGTGCTTGGGCCCTGCACCCCATGGGAGACCAGGAGAAGTACCTGGCTCCTGCCATCGGATCAGCGCGGTGCGCCGGCCACAGCGCACCAGCCGCGGCGGCCATTGGAGGGTGAACCAACGGCAAAGGAAGACCTTTCTCTCTGTCTCTCTCTCTCACTGTCCACTCTGCCTGTCAAATAAATAAATAAATAAATAAAAATAGACTTACTTTGTGAGTTAGGTTACAATTCTGGTTTTTTAGCTGTTGATTTTTTTTTAAACAAAGGATTTATTTATTTTATTTGAAAGGAAGAGTTAGAGAGAAGGAGAGGCAGGGACAGAGATGTAGAGAGAGATCTTTCATCTGCTGGTTCACTCCCCAAATGGCTGCAGTGGTTGGGGTGGGGCCAAGCCGAATCCAGGAGCCAGGAGCTTAATCCGGGTCTCCCATGTGGTTGTTACAGCTCCAAGGACTTGGGCCATCCTCTACTGCTTTCCCAGGTGCATTAGCAGGGGGCTGGATTGGAAGGGGAGCAGCCGGGACTTGAACCCAGTACCCATATGGGTCGCCAGCACGGCAAGTGGCAGCTTTACCTGCTGTGCCACAGTGCCAGCCCTTCCCCAGCTGTTGCTTTAGAAATAAATTAAAACTTACACTTCTTTCAACAGTTTTAAGGGTGGCACAAAGGACTTTGATAGCCTCTGCATTCAGATCTGCCAGTTGTTATCATTTGCTTCATTATTGATTGCTCTTTGCACACCTGCATCTGTGGGCTATCTGAGAGTGACCTGCACACTTGACGCCTCCAAGTGTACTTCCCAAGGACAAGGTCATCACACAAAACCAGGGCGGTTCACACGGGGGCAGTGCCTTTCTCCACTTGACCAGCCTCCTGCCGCAGTACAGTCCCAGTTCCCGGTCATGCAAGACCTTTGGTCTCCACATCACTGAATGCCACTCAGACTGGAATGGTTTCTTTCTTTCTTTTTTTTTTTTTTTAGATTTATTTATTTTTTGAAAATCAGAGTTACACAGAGAGAGAAGGAGAGAGAGAGAGAGGTCTTTTTTTTTTTTTTTAAAGATTTTTTATTTATTTTGTTTGAGAGGTAGAGTTACAGACAGAGGGAGAGACAGAGAGAGGTCTTCCATTCTCTGGTTCACTCCCCAGTTGGCCACAATGGCTGGAGCTGCGCTCATCTGGTCAGGAGCCAGGAGCTTCCTCTGGGTCTCTCACATGGGTGCAGGGGCTCAAGCACTTGGGCCATCTTCCACTGCTTTCCCAGGCCATAGCAGAGAGCTGGATGGGAAGTGGAGCAGCTGGGACTTGAACCAGTGCCCATATGGGATGCCGGCACTGCAGGTGGCGGCTTTACCCGCTGTCCACAGTGCCGGCCCTAGACTTCACTGGTTCTAAAGGGAAGCCTCGATACAGTCTTGTTAGACTTGTCCCCAGTCTGCTCACTTGGTCTTCATAGGCCTACCAGGTGAACGCGTTTCCTCCATGGTGCTGCCAGCACACCGGGTCGTGGAGCCTTCCAAGGCTGCCACTGAGATATGTGACAAGTGATACCTGATTTTTAGTGAAGGTGGGCATGTTTTTTTTTTTTTTTTAACAGGCAGAGTGGACAGTGAGAGAGAGAGACAGAGAGAAAGGTCTTCCTTTGCCGTTGGTTCACCCTCCAATGGCCGCCGCGGCTGGTGCGCTGTGGCCGGCGCACCGCGCTGATCCGATGGCAGGAGCCAGGTACTTATCCTGGTCTCTCATGGGGTGCAGGGCCCAAGCACTTGGGCCATCCTCCACTGCACTCCCTGGCCACAGCAGAGAGCTGGCCTGGAACAGGGGCAACCGGGACAGAATCCGGCGCCCCAACCGGGACTAGAACCCGGTGTGCCGGCGCCGCAAGGCAGAGGATTAGCCTGGTGAGCCGCGGCGCCGGCCCAGTGGGCATGTTTTTACATGTTTAAGGACCATTTTGAATTGACTGCTCATATCTATTGCTCATTTCTTTATCTGTTGGATTATTTTTTCTCTGAATTTTTATTACTTTATATATTAAGGGGATTGGTCTTTGTATACATTGCAGGTATTTTCTCCATCCTAGTCCCCCCCAGCCAGTGCAGCTGCTGGGTCCTGCCGCTGGAGCACTTTGTCCTGGCAGCTGCCCGGTGTCAGGTGCACGCCTGTGGACACAGTTTTCCTGTAGAGGCTCCACTGTAGCTGGGGCCGGTTGCACCCACGCTGCGGTGGTCTTGCCCTTGTTCCTGGGCTGGATCGCAGCTCTCAGGCTTGGTCTGGCTCCAGCCTGCTGGCCGTGCCATGGTTGCCGTCCTGGCGGTTTCCTCATCGAGGCCTGTCCTGCTCTCCACGGTTTTTGCCGTTTTCTCTCCGACCTCAGGCACCTCTGCCTTATTCCCTGCTCTCTGTGCTTTGCTTTATCGGTGTGTCTGAGTTTCTGGGGTGTGCCTTGTGTGCCATCCTGTGCGTAGTGGTGACCACCTGTGAATGGATGGCGGGGGGGCTTTGCACTGTCTGAGAACACTGTGGCGGTGTTGTTGCTGCCTCCCCTCCCCCACATTTCTCCTTCGTCACGCCCTTTCCTTTTCTTGCCTCCAGTTGAGGTTTTAGCCTGCTGGTGGGCATTGCTGACCCTGTCATGTTCCCTGTGGGCTGTCAGAGCCATGGATGTCAAAAACGACCGAATCTTTGCACCAGATTCTCAGTGCTCTTTGTTCTTGCATTGAGTGACACTGAGTCACTTTGACCCGGAAGCTGTCCCGTGAGCTTTATCTCCCTGCAGGTCACGATCTCGGAGGCTGACTCAGGGTGCCATTCTCTAAAGGTGGAGGGACTTCTGCTCCTTGGCCGTGGTTGGGGACCTCCCCTCGTGCCTGGTCGTGCATTATTTAGAGGAGATGAGGCTGTGCATGGGGAATGAGAAGCCAGATTCACTCTCACCTCCTACCCTCGGTATCTTTCTTTTCTCCAGGGAAAAGAGGAGTGGAAACCCACCAGTACAAAGGCAATTTGTTAAAGCTGAGATAAATAAAAACTCCCTGCAATTTACCAAAAATCAACTTGTGTCAGAAACAGATGTGCTATAAGCATGACTGCCACACAAGGCACGATAGCACTGTGGTAGGAAGTCGGGCCCAGGGTTGGTCCTACTGTGGGCTCTCCAGCCCTGCCATCGTGAGCCCTAGTAAGCACGCTCGACCTCTCCAGGGCCTCACCCCGCCTCCCGCAGGGCTGGGCACGCAGGAGACCTCCCTCCTGGGGTTGCCGTGGGCATGGGTGACAGCTGCACAGAAGCCCTGGGTGTTGGTCCCCATTTCCTCTGTGCGAAGCCTGCCCATTTGCTGCTCAGAAGGTGCCTGCGCTGGGAGGTGGCTGGCTTGCTGTCAGGTCTCACTGACTTGAGTCTGCTGTTAGCTGCTTTCCCCGAGTGCTCCCTTTCCTGTCGTCTGTTATGGTTCTTCTCAGCCACACCACCAGCCTCGTCATGCCTCTGCTGCAGTTCTCCCTCTGGAAGGATTCTGCGTATGAGATTTTCTTCATTCTCCTTTTTTGGAGTGTCTCTGTCTGTCTGACTGCCCCTCACCCATCCATCCATCCGTCCATCCCCTTTTCTGTCTCTGCATTCTCCCTCTGTCTTGTTCCAGAAGCATTTGAGGCAGCTTAGAGAACAGAGAATAGGAGGTAAGCAGGTGAGAAAACTGGACCATGATTAGAGAACATGGGTCAGACATGAGCAGTGTGAGGTGCACGACCTTGACTATGCTCAGTTACGAGGACGCGCAGCTGGCTCCTGGCTGGCCTCTGTTGGGCGCCAGGAGGCAGGCCTTGTGGGAGGTGCTCGCCGTCCATCAGATCAACAAGAGGAGGAGAAGCCTAGCTTTTCCAGCTACTGAGGCGTGGAATATTTTTTTGAGTGTTTTATGAAATCAAAGAATGTTTCATCTTTTTTTTTTTCGTGCCAGAGTCTGCTGTGGGTGTTTCTATTCCAAGGTGGAAGTGTCTCCTAAACTCTTCCCCGTGTGGGTTTGATGGTGGGGAGGTAGTGATCCTGCTCACAGACAGGCAGTGGTCAGAAACAGATACCAGCCATGGAGAGGATACGCGTATCTGTCGTCGCGTATCTTAAAAATGCTCTCACGTAGTCTGTCTCTGCTGAGGACACCTCGTGGGCCCTGGCTAGCGCTGAGCACGTCAAGCTGGGACAGAGTGCATGTGGGCCTCACCACCGTCTTCAGGACACCTAAGCCAGTGGTGAACATGGAACTTCTCTGTGGTGCAACTCGGGTTCTCTGGAGCGCATTTCAACATGGTGGAAGATGTATTCTGAGCTAATTAACATTTCATAGAATGGTGAGACTGTTACAGGGAGTACATAAGCTCTGAACGTTTCAGCACTATTTCACCACCTCATACTAGGGCAGGGCGAAGTCTTACCTTACTCACTTCCTCTTTCAAGTAACAAAGAAAAAGTCAAAGGTTATTTCTTTTCTTCTTCTCGGTTTGCAGGCGCCCTCACCACCAATGGCATAAATCCCGACACCAGCACTGAAATTGGACGTGCGAAGAACTGTCTTAGCCCTGAAGACATCATTGACAGATACAAAGAGGCCATTTCCTATTACAGCAAGGTGATTTATTGCTTTATAAATTTCTCACAGGATCGTGTTGTTTTAATCAGAATTTCCTGTTTTACCCTGCGTAGTGCTGTAGTGTCTCTTCACTATTTGCTTTTGTAAGTGCTCACATGTCCTTCCCTAATGCATACTCTCTGGCTAAAATAGGGTTTTCCCCTGATTCATATTAAATATTATAAATTTGAAGAAAGGGAAAGGCTCTCATACCCCAGGTCCATGGAGACACTCGCTGTTAACACGTTGCTGTCTGTCTTCTGGTCCTGTTGTCAGTGTGTATTTCTGCCTCCTGGAGGTGGGGAGCATGGGATACCTACTTCCCTGCGTTTTTCAGCGCATTATGTGTTTTTCTATGTGATCAGATCTTCCTTGCTGTGAGTCTTAAAGACCTAGAGAGCAACCTGTCATGTGAATGCACCGTCCTTTTTACTTTGGACTTTGCTGAGTGGGCTCACTGAAATACTGAAAAAGAAAACTCAGTTTATTCCAAGAGTGGTCTGAAGTGACCAGTGAAAGCCCCTCCCTGCTGACCCTCACTGCTGCAGATGACGATGAGCGGTGAGCTGTGTGCCAGGCATGGCCCAGGTGTCTGTGGAAGATGTGCAGGCCTTTGCTGGCAGGCCCGGGGCATGCTGGCCCTGCCCTCAGGCCCAGCAACACACAGATCCTGGGTGTCCTCCTGGCCCGGGCTGGCTGGGTCTTTCTGAGAATGTGGAAAAGTCTTCTTGATGGTGCACGAAGTTGCTTCTTCCTCAGGTTGTCTTGTGAGAGACTCCCAGACAGCTGCTCCTACTGAGCCCACGATTTGTTGCCCAAGTCCTCTGTCACTGGTTGGTGCTTAGACTGCCTCACCTTTCCACTGTTGACAAAGACACTTTACCTAATACTCTTGTTTTTTTTTTTTTTAAAGATTTATTTATTTATTTGAAAGGCAGAGTTACACAGAGGGAGAGGCTTAGAGAGAGAGAGAAAGAGAGAGAGAAAGGGAGAGGTCTTCCATCCGCTGGCTCACTCCCCAGATGGCCACAATGGCTGGAGCTATGCCAATCCAAAGCCAGGAGCCAGGAACTTGCTTTGGGTCTCCCACATGGATGCCTGGGGCCCAAGCCCTTGGGCCATTCTCTGCTGCTTTTCCAGGCTATTAGCAAGGAGTTGGCTTTGAAGTAGAGCAGATTGTACAGGCTGTTCACACTGACCACAGATGTTCACACTGTTCACACTGACCACAGGCTGTTCACACTGACCGTAGGCTGTTCACACAGTTCACACTGACCACAGGCTGTTCACACTGCTCACACTGACCCCACGCTGTTCACACTGACCACAGGCTGTTCACACTGCTCACACTGACCCCACGCTGTTCACACTGACCACAGGCTGTTCACACTGTTCACACTGACCACAGGCTGTTCACACTGACCACAGATGTTCACACTGTTCACACTGACCACAGGCTGTTCACACTGACCACAGGCTGTTCACACTGACCGTAGGCTGTTCACACAGTTCACACTGACCACAGGCTGTTCACACTCTGTTCTCCAGATTCCCCCTCAGTAGTGAATGAAAGGACGTAGAATTATTCGTGTAACCAGTCCTCTCTTAAGGAATATGCTTTGCCTTTGGTTTCCTCCCCACGTTGGGACAGTGCTCTGAGAAGTGTCCCCTGGTTTCCTCCCCACGTTGGGACAGTGCTCTGAGAAGTGTCCCCTGGTTCCCTCCCCACGTTGGGACAGTGCTCTGAGAAGTGTCCCCAGATATGATTCGTTCCAACTATTCGGTTTCAGGAGAGCAGCTCTAGAAGTGGCCTTGGGTGGAAGAGGGGACGATTTTCTAGGGTTATAATTCTTTCTTTTTGTTTTTAAGTGTCGCTCCCCCTCTTCGTGGAGGAACGACACAGGACCCTGCGCTGTTCTTTTGTCTGCTCGGCCCTCCCCGGGTTTTCTGCTGGTTCTTCCCGGGTTGGCTACTATCCCTTCCACCTCCGTGGAAGGGCAGTTCCCCCTGGCCACATTCCCCACTTCTGCAGGGGAGCGGCACACCGCCGGCCGGCTTTCTCGGGGGCTGCACAGGTGTTCCCCTTAGATGTTCCCCTTAGATGTTCCTGGTGCATGCCATCTCTCTCCTCCTTTATAGTCCTCCTCTGCCAATCCCAACTCAGCTGCCCACACGCCGAGTACGCTGCTCTCCTCCAATCAGGAGCAAGTCCTACAGTTTATTGGTTGAACTGGAGGCAGCTGTGCAGAAGCCGTTTACTTCTCTCCCAGCGCCATATTGTGGGAGAGCAGATGCATAGAATAAGTCTTAATTCCAGTAACTCAGTCTAGTCTGGATTGCTCCCCACAGATCCCCCTTTCTTTTTATTTTTGGCGTTGATACGCGCCTGTCTTCGGTGCCCCGTGGCACACACTCTGCTCCGCTTGCTAGAGTTGCCACAGGTTCTTACAAGTCCTATCAATCAGGCAAACCGAATCCGGGTCCTCTCTTCGCCATGTTGTGAGGAGGTTTTTAGGCGCTGATGCGTGCCTGTATTTGGTGCCCTGCAGCGCATGCTCTGCTCTGCCCGCAGGGGCTTACAAGCCCTAACAATCAGGCAAACCGAATCCAAGCCTTCTCATTGCCGTATTGTGGGGGAGACTTATTAGTGTTGGTTCGTGCCTATCTTCGGTGACCTGCAGCTCATACTCTGGTCGAGCTGCTTGCTGGTGCTTACCGCCTTAATCAGGCAGACTGAATCCAAGCCTCCTAATTGCTGTATTGTGGGGAGGCCTTACTGATGTTAATTCGTGCCTGTCTTCGGTGACCTGCGGCGCATAAGCTGCTAGCCGCCCGCAGGTGCTCATCGCCTCACTTAATCAGGCAGACCGAATCCAAGCTCTCACATTGCTGTGTTGTGGGGAGGCCTTTCTCTTTCTCCATTTCTCTATCTCCGGGCATTCCTATTTCTCCCATTTTACTTCTATCTTCCAGCATTCCTATTTCTCCCATTTTACTTCTAAACTTCTGTTTCTCTTATCCCCACAGCTTCCCGGCGCCTCGCCCTGCCGGCAGCTTCACGGCTCCGTGCGGCTTCCCGGCGCCTCGCCCCGCCAGCGGGCTCCGCCCCGAGGCTGCTTCTCGGCGCCTCGCTGGCTCTGAGCCGCTTCAGCCCGCGCCTCTCTCATCTGCGTGGTTCGGCTTTGCGAGCACACTCCACGGTCTCGCACTTAACCCTTTCGCGTCTGAACCACGGCCTCGCGCCAGCCCCGCGTTCCCTATGTACTTGAGCCCCGCACGCTCTGTCTGCGCGCGGCAGCCTCCGCGAGTCACACAGTGTAGCTTACGTGTCCGCCACTAGCATTCAATCTAAGTTCCCCGGGCTAGCCTGGCGAATTCAACCCAGCTTACGTCTCCGCCCCACGGTTTGGCTTCCCGTCCTTTGCTCCCCGGGCTAATCAGACGGATCCCAATCTGGCTTACGTTTCAGCTTCTGGTTTCAACTTTTCGCCCCCTATTCCCGGGCTAACTTGAGAATCCCAAAGTGGCTTGCGTTTCCGCCTCGGCCTGCCCCCCGCGGCTTCAATTTCCCTAACATTTTTCTCTACCCGGTATGTTTCCCCAAGCTTTCCTCCAACAATACTCCTCCCTCATTTCTCCTGGCCTCTCCCCACAGTCCGCATCCGAGTCTGTTTGTTCTAGCTTTCACTTTCGCTTTCGACCTTAGAGATTTCTCCCAGCTTCCCCCCGTAGTCCGTATCCGAGTCTATGCCTAGGCTTTCAATAGCTTCTTCCGGCACCCTTTTCGTCCGGCTTTTCCCTAGGCTGTTTGCTAGTCTCTCTCTCCGGTATTTTCCACTTCTTCCCGTTTCTTCCCTCCTAAGTTTGCTATCCGTCCTAGGTTTCCTATCCGTCCTAGGTTTCCTATCCGAATCACGGCACCATTATGTTGCTCCCCCTCTTCGTGGAGGAACGACACAGGACCCTGCGCTGTTCTTTTGTCTGCTCGGCCCTCCCCGGGTTTTCTGCTGGTTCTTCCCGGGTTGGCTACTGTCCCTTCCACCTCCGTGGAAGGGCAGTTCCCCCTGGCCACATTCCCCACTTCCGCAGGGGAGCGGCACACCGCCGGCCGGCTTTCTCGGGGGCTGCACAGGTGTTCCCCTTAGATGTTCCCCTTAGATGTTCCTGGTGCATGCCGTCTCTCTCCTCCTTTATAGTCCTCCTCTGCCAATCCCAACTCGGCTGCCCACACGCCGAGTACGCTGCTCTCCTCCAATCAGGAGCAAGTCCTACAGTTTATTGGTTGAACTGGAGGCAGCTGTGCAGAAGCCATTTACTTCTCTCCCAGCGCCATATTGTGGGAGAGCAGATGCATAGAATAAGTCTTAATTCCAGTAACTCAGTCTAGTCCAGATTGCTCCCCACATTTAAGTTTTATTATTTATTTGCAAGGAAGATTACACACACACACACACACACAGAGAGAGAGAGAGAGAGAGAGAGAGAGAGATAGAGAGGTCTTCCATCCACTGGTTCACTCCTCAGCTGGCTGCAATGGCCAGAGCTGGGCCAGGCTGAAGCCAAGAACCAGGAACCTCATCTGGGTCTCCCATGTGGGAACAAGGGCCCAAGCACTGTGCCATCTTCCGCTGCTTTCCCAGGTGCATTAGCAGGGAGCTGGATAGGAAGTGGAGCAGCCGGGACCCGGACCACAGTGCCGTCCCTGGGAGGCAGGAGTCTTAACCACTAGGTCAAACGCCTGCCCCTGAAGTTGTTGTTAAGTTGGTTATCACCATGAGATGCCAGTGATGTAACACAACTATGCGTTTCAGAGAACCCTTGTGTTTTTCTCCTTTTCCTTTTTCTCTAAAAAGATTTATTTGAGAAGCAAATTTACACACACACACACACACACACACACACAGATAGGTCTTACATCTGCTGATTCATTCCCCAAATGGCTGCAATGGCCAGGGCTGGGCCAGATTGAAGCCAGGAGCTTCTTCTGCATCCCATGGGGC